AGCCTCCGGTCTCTAGCCAGGAAGTACTTTTAGCTGCATTACTCTAAGCAAGTTACTTAAACTCTCTTTGCCTCAGTTTTTCATTTGTAATAATAATAATAATAATATTATTAAGATAATAATAGTGATTCTCTTATATGGTTGCTCTAAGTATTAAATCAGTTAATGCACATGAAGTGCTTAGAACATGACCACATATATAACAAGCCTTAATTAAATGTTTGCTGTGATTGTAAATAGTGTGAACAAATATGTTTGATAAGGGCTTAAATGAGGCAGGCCTGTTTAAGAGCCCAGCTCCCCTAGCAGGGGTTGATTATTCCAATCTAGGTCCTCTCACTGAGCTCTAAGCACATCCTTTGTTGCAGATGTTAGAACCAACATGGGAATGCTTCCCTATTCTCCATTTTCTCTTAAAAAGATATCAGAAACATCCTAAATATCCACTGATGGATGAATGGATAAAGGTGTGGCATATACACACCATGGACTATTCCTCAGCCATAAGACAAATGAAACCTTGTTATTTGCAACACGGATGGACCCTGAGGGCATTATGATAACTGCGATAAGTCAGGCACAGACAGATGAGTACCATATGATCTCACTCATATGTGGAATCTAAACAACATATGTGGAATCTAAAACAACATTTTATTTTGCTACAACAGTAGCAAAGTAAAAACCACAAAAGCAAAAAATCCAGTGCATGAGAATAGATTAACGGTTGCCTAGGGTAGGGTGGGGGAGGTGAAATGTGTTTAATTGGTTAAAGGAGTCAAAAGGTACAAATTTCCAGTTATAAAATGAATATATATGTATATATATATATTTGCAGAATATACACCACAAAATATACTTCTGGCATAATAATTATTTTGAGCTGAAGTCAACTGAGAAGCAGATACAAGGAAAGCTCTCTGCCTTCCTGCTATTTAGCTAAAAGCATGACATAAATTTATGAAGGGGCTTCCCCTCCCCTCTCTGCCAGGAAGGACAAAAGTCACCTTGTCAGAGAAGTCATCAAAGGAATCGACATAATAAAATTGACTACATAGCCTTTGTCTTCCATTAGCTCCACCATATATTTGTCTTCCACAGTTTGCCACCCTAGAAACTCAAAGTCCTTCTCCTGTGTCTGATCACTTCTTGAAACTGTACGGTCCTTTTGTTGAGATGCTGTAAGAGCCCAAGTTCTAATCACCCCTGTGAGTTACTCATCGCTGGGTTTTCCCAAGCATATGCAAGATGCCCATGCTAATAAACTTCTGTTTCTCTTTCTTTTGTTAGTATTTCAGTTATCAGTCAGATTTGCAGGGCCCCAGCCAATCAACGCAAGAGGAGTAGAGGAACAAAGAATTTTTCTAAGGAAAAAATGACAAGCCTACATCCCCAGTGTAGAAGAGCTTCCCACACTCAAAGTGGGAAGTTGAACTTTACTAAACATTTTTTATTTTTTTTAATTTTTTTTAAAGATTTTATTTATTTATTTGACAGAGAGAGACGGTGAGAGCAGGAACACAAGCAGGGGGAGTGGGAGAGGGAGAAGCAGGCTTCCCGCTGAGCAGGGAGCCCGATGCGGGGCTCGATCCCAGGACCCCGGGATCATGATCTGAGCCGAAGGCAGACGCTCAAGGACTGAGCCACCCAGGCGCCCTACTAAACATTTAAAAAAAAAAATAGATGCCTGATGAAGAGTACACTTATCATGATGAGCACTGAATAACGTAGAGAATTGTTGAATCACTATATTGTATACCTGAAGCTAATATAACAATGTATGTTAACTATATTGGAATTAAAATTTTTTTAAAAGGTACCGTGAGGCCGTCTAGGCCCAAGGAATGGGGCAGGTCTGGCTGGCTCTTGCCCTGTTCTTAATTTAGTGGTTCCCATTCTTTATACCTGGGCAACGCAGAGCCATTGGCAGAGGGCAGAAGAGAGCCTTGTACATACATCACAGATGAGTAGGTTATGTTTATGTATTTGAGGGATTACTCCAGAGCGTCTCAACTTCTTTAAAATTAGAGATGGGAGAACCTCACAGAAGGTCCATCCCAGACCTTCTGCATCAGGACACCAGAGAGTAAGACTAAGATTTTTTTTTTTTCCATTCACAAGTAACTCCCACACTCAACTACAGTTGCAGCTAAGCTTTCTTCTGATCTAAAAGGGCCCACTTCTCTTCAGCACTTACATCCATTGCTCAAGCCAGATTATTCAAGTCCTGGGCATGGAATAACAGTGTTAGTCTACATATCAAGAAGGTGGTATCCGGGGATACTGAGTATCTTCAAGAACTTGGGCAGAATTGGTGCAGCTCTAGAATCCACTGCCCTGGGCATCATCACTCTGTCAACTGAAAATGCCAAGTGTCCAAATCCAGCACACAAGCCCCAGTCCCTGCAGCAGGGCTCAGTGAGAGCACGCTCATGCCAGCTGAGTATCTCCCAGGATCAGCTGCTGGGGAGTAACGAGACGGCAGAATAAACAGAGGCATTCCGCAAACAGCATCCTCGACGCAGCTGACAATGGGGAAGATTCAACACTTATTCCTGATACAAACCTGCCACCCAAGCTAGTCTTACCAATGTCTTTACTATCCTCAGTGGTGGCTACTTTTACCTTAAGAAAAAAACAAGTTGATATCAAGGGGGAGTTCTGCAAGTTGAGAAACTATTTGCCAAAATGGTGGTCAACTATCTTCTTTCTGGAAATGGCGGACTTCCCAGGGGCTCCTGCGTCTCACGCGGCTAACACTAGAGTTAGTTGACAAGTGTGCACAATCAGATGGAAGGGCCTAGAATCCACTTCCACTTGTGATATGGAGTGGTCTGGCCAAAGCATGTATTTCAACACTACCTTAGGCTACCTTTGGTTCCATATTAATTATGAGCTTTGAATAAATTACCTGTGAGCTTCTAGGTATGCTGGGGCATGTGTATGCATGTGTGTGGTTGTTGGAGTTGTCTTTAAATATCATAGTAAATTCCAAGTCACTTTGTCCTCCATATATTTGAAAAGTGAAACACTGATTCCACTTCTGGGGATATTCTCATTGATGCTGAAGGGGTTCAGAGTAAGTCTCCCAAAAAATATGCCACTTTGGCCTGTGAACTCTTTTGGACTAGAGGCAATCAAGATCCAGCAGTCTCAAGAGAAACTTTTTCCCTTCCCTGAACTACGGAGAAGAAGTTAAATTAGGGGTCTCTCCCAGAATGAGAGTTTTTACCAGAGATAAATTTTATCTGAGTGACCCTTCGTAGGGCAGGGCGCACATCTCGTTGTCAAACATCTGCTCTTCTCTTTGCCTGTGGATTGGCCTCCGCTCCATTGAATCCTGGACTCCTACCGCATGTCTTAGCTCAGGATGGCATATTACCTTTCTGTCTTTGAACTCTTATATACATAGGGTTCCCCTATGTAATACAAAATTAAATTTGATTTTCTCCTGTTAATCTGTCTCAGGTCAATGTAGTTCTTAGACAAGCCAGAAGAAATTTTGGAGAGGAGAGGAAAATTTTCTTTTCCCCAACAATACTTCAAAACAATTCAACAGATCTTACCTCACCTTGACTCAACTCAACTACTTGCCAAATCAACACCCAATCAACAAACAATTGCACTGCGCAGGCAGAGACTTTTTTTGTTTTGTTTTTAACGTAATTATTCTCAGCACCTAGATTGCAACCTGGCTATTCAAAGTGTGGTCCGTGGACCAACAACATAGGCATCAAGGAATGGAAATGCATAATCTTCAGCCCTACCCAGACCTACAGAACAAAAATCTGCAGTTGAACAAGAGCCTAGGTGATCTGTACTCACATTAAAATTTGAAAAGCTCTCACCTTAGAGCAGTGTTTCTCTCCCATGGGGGGTGAACTGATCACCTATGGGAAAATCACCTGAGATGCTCCCCTAAAAGCTAAGTTTGCCAACCCTACCACAGACTGAGTGAAATGGACTATCTGGGCTGGGGGCTCTCGACATTGCATTAAACAAGTTCCTGTCTTTTAGGTTCCTCTAACTCCAGCAATCTAAAGTTTGGGCAGCACCAGAGTAGTAGCATTTTAGAATATGGCATGTATTGTCGGTTTCATATATAGGATCTCTTCACCAAACTAGAGTCACTGAGCAAGACATGCCTGCAATTTTAAGCTAATCAAAGAGTAGTACACTGACTATAGAAAGACACACACGCACACGCACACGCACAGGACAGGCATTAGAAATAATTGCAAATGCAGAGAAACTGCCTTTAATATGAGAAGAACCACCCAAGGAGGTCCTGCTGAGCATTTGTAGTGAAATGCAGAATAACCGGTTGTGTTAGAGAGGAAAGGGATAAATTGTGAATAAGAACATCATTACACCTCTTATACTCCTGTGTACACATTACTTGTACTCCTTTGAAACAGTATTACAAATATATTTGATTCTAATAGGTTACTTTCAATACAGGGGGAAACATTTTTTGTATTTATCAGATATGAAAAGAAAAAACTCAAAGCACCAAAAATATAGTCTGCATTTATCCCTCTTCTATATAGGGATGATCTCTATTTATAATTGCTGATAGCGAATTTCTTTTCAAATGCCAAGCTGAAAGGTGTCGCTCTGTCCATGTGGTTCCATAAAGGAGCCAGTCTCCTTTTGTATGTTTAGAAAATCCAGTTGGGTACAATTTTCACTTTTCCTCTGGAAGTTTGACGTCAGAAAACATGACTCCATTACTTCCATTTTCATAAGTTCCTGCAAGATCCAAATTACCCCCACAAACATCTGGACATTGTGACATATTTATCGTATTGCTCCCTACTTAGATGTACGTGGAGTTTTAGAATTGCAAAATAATTTGCCTTAAAATATTAAGTGTATCAAAAAGATTAATACACAGCACTTTGTTTTGGCTTGACACTCTCACAGAAAGCTAAACAAGGAAAGGAAGCAAGAACAATTTTCAACACCTTTGGAATCTTACTTCCAGAAAGGTCACATACCTCAGAGTATAGGATCCCCATGCTGGTCCTTCACAGATTTGCGTCAACCTTACCGCTTCTTAAATCTTCTGGAAGTATTTCTGATGAACATAAAATCCTTTCCAGCCAAGAGAAAAGTCCCTAGAAGCTGAGGCCGGCGGCACGTCCTCTCTTCCCACACCTGTGGAATGTTTTTCCAATAACACAGGCAGCAACATACCTTCTAGAGAACCCAGCCCAATGAAACACAGACATTGGCTTACAGCATAATGACCCAAGTGTGCATCATCTAATGTTACAACCCTGAGGAACCGGTTTCTGAGTCACATTTGCTCTGCGAATAGTGACATGTGGAGAGAAGGGGCCAAAGTCAAAGGGAAAGGGAAGTTCTCAGCCTCGAAGGAAGGACTCAGGGTTCAAAATAGGGCATTGTATATAAGACATTTCCTGATTGAAATCTGGTTTTCAGTGGCTATTGAGAAAGGCTAGGGATGAGCAAACTCACTTGTTAGAACCACGGATATCTGCCACGGGCTTGACTTCCAGGAAAGATAATCCTCAAGGGGCGCCTGAGCAGCTCAGTCGGTTAAGTATCCGACTCTTGATTATGGCTCAGGGCATGATCTCAGGATCCTGAGATCGAGCCCACCGTCAGGCTCCACACTCAGCATGGAGTCTGCTCAAGATCCTCTCCCTCTGTCTCCCCACCCTACTCAAAAAAAAAAAAAAAAGAAAAGAAAAAGAGAAAAAAAATAATCTTCAAAACTCTCACTATGGATTATTTGCTATCTGTGAGCCTGGACAAAGCTATTTGTTTTTCCTTGATGGTCCTGATTAATATAAACAAATTAAAGCAATAAATTAAATAATAGATGAAGTTTTTAAGCTATTTTATTTTATATACATAAATGTGTTCACTTTCAAGGGCATTTTGAATAAAGCTTGAGCAATTCAAATTGAAAAAAACGAAAATCTTTGAAGAATCAGTCCCACTTATATCCTAGTTAATTAAATTATCTTTAAAAGTTTAAATTACACTTATAGTATCACTATATTTAATTTTCTTTAATAAGTACTTCAATTCTGAACCTAACAAGTAATACTTTCCCAGCTAAATGGTCTCGTAAATCTAATAAACTTTTTAACATAATAAATATTAAGTTGTCTTAAAAATTCTAATAGTGCTTATAAATTCAGCCAAATTATTTTATAATATTCAATTTTAACATTGTAAGTCTGAAATCAATTGCCCCATTACATATTTTAAAAGGAATCACCAGGCCACTTGGTCAAACATGGTTTTATGCCAAATCTCTTCAACATTCTAAACATTTTATGTATAAATATAATACCAACCATTCACACACTGTCTCTGAACACAATCATAGCAAAGTGTGGAAATTTTCCAGAATTAGGAAATCCACACACATACCCATGAAAGAACCAGTTTCAGCCATCCCAGACAAATTGATGTGATTCTTCCAGTCACTGAAGATTCTTCAGAGGCCAAGAATAAGGGGCCAGGACCCAAGACCTGAGCCTGCATATATTCAGGGAACTTCTTCCTACCCCACTGATGGACATAATGAGCTATTTTTATAAGTTTTATAAGAAAAATTACATACTTTACCTTGGACTTGGCTTTTGGACCAACCTCCTGGGAGTTTAAGAATTAACTAATTCTTCTGTTGAAGATGGAAGTCTGCAAATAGCCACTAGGTTGCAGCTGACTTTCCTTTTGGCTTGGTTTGATTTTGTGTTTCTTGAAACACTTAAGACATTTAAGTGTCTTTCCCTTTGACATAAACATTGATGTTTTTTCCACTGGGTACTTCACGCTCTTACGCAAGTCTTCTATAACCCCTTTCAGTTTCTTTTGTGACCTCTTTTCACTAATTGGTGTGGCCAGAACTCTTCACTCTCCCTACCTCTCTGCGAAGGTTGCTGCTAGCTTCCTTCTCCAAGCTCCTTTCTCCCTGACCTCGAGAGGATTCTTCAACTTCCTGTCAGGACCAAAACTCACCTAATTGGATTCTGCGTCTCTCTCTTGACTTCATCTTGAAGGGTAGCAAAATACACCACGATAAAATATGTCTCTTTGACATAAGGATTGTTTTGATGTGGTTGTTTTTAAAAACCTTCAAACACATAAGAGAAGCTCTGAAAACAGAGTAGAAGTTACTTTTTTGGAAAGGACATTTACATATATAAAAGAAATTTCCCATTTATAAAGGTGTCTCCCTCGGGAAGAGGAGGCCGACTCTAGATCTCCATTGGAGATTAATTCTTCAATTAATGGAGAAGGCAATGACTTAAATCTGCAGGACAACTGACGCTGTTTACTGTGCTTTTCCTGCTTAGCGGTCCCATAACTGACCCTCCCCCAACTTCTTCGGTTCTTTCCAGCTGGAGATTATATTTAAGGTGTTGGTTTGGGTCATTTCAAGGGATTTTACTCAGTTTTCCTGCGTCTCCTGGGTGTACACATGAGGTACACACATTATTAAACTTCGGTTTGTTTTTCTCTTAATCTGTCTTTTGTGACGGGGGTTCTCAGCCACAGAACCTAGAAGGGTAGAGGAAAGATTCTTTTTCCTCCCCTACAGTCTGATTCTAAAGACACAATACTCATTGTAATTATGGAAGAGGAACTGTTTCAATGTAGGGTTGACTCTGAAAAACAACAATAAAAAAGCAATTGACTCATTGCAATTGGTAAAAACACTCCAGACCAGTGAGTCTGGAACAGCGATGATTTAGCCCTTAGGTAGGACTGCCAGATTTAGCGAATAAAAATACAGATGTTTAGTTAAATTTGAATTTTAGATAAATTTCTGAAATACCACATGGGGAATGCTTCTCCTAAACAATTATGCTGTTTAACTGAAAATTAAATGGGCGCCTGGGTTGTTCAGTAGGTTGAGCATCTGCCTTCTCCTGGGATCGAGCCCCACGTTGGGATCCCTGCTCAGCGGGGAGTCTGCTACTCCCTCTGCACCCCCCTGCTCTAGTGCTCTTGCTCTCTCTCTCTCCCTCTTAAATAAATAAATAAATAAATAAATAAATAAATAAATAAAATCTTCAATAAAATAAAATACTAAAGCCATCACTCTGACCACTGTGTGGAAATTGGATTTGAGGTGGGCATGAGAAAAAACAGCAAGACCAGTTAAGAGGCTATTGCATGAGGTCAGCGGGGAGGTAATGGTACGTAAGGCAGGAAAGCAGCAGTGGGGACAGAGAGAAGAGGTAGGAGGTAGAAATAATGGGCTTTTTGTTGAAAATGCACTGTTAGGCTGTGCTGAAATAAACTTCTACGTCCAAGATGGAGCCACACTTGCCCAGAACGCCATGTCAGCAAACCAAAACTGAGAGAACTTTCACGTTCCTATAAATGCTCCATTTGACCAGAAAGGCAGTATTTCCAGCCAGCCAATCCCCAACTGCCAAGAATCTGTGCTACTATCGTAGTTCTAAATAAAGTGAGATACGCAACCCTGGCCGATTAGCTCAAACCAAAGACATTAGCCTTATTCCCCGATGGACTTGCTAGCCAGCGGTGCCCCGTTTCCATATTGCTGCTTCTAATGCTCTATAAAACTTGCCTCTGCCCAACATCCCTTGAGAAGAGTGTCCCAGTGCTTGTGTGGCATTGTACTCTCCCAATCCAAAGGATATCAGACTAAATGGTTTTATTCTTGTCATTTGACAACAATTTTCTCCTGGCACCAAATACACGTCCCTATGTGTTGTTCTGTGATGCTCACATTAACTCTCTGTAAATTACATTTCTCTTTTCCCTACCGGCCTCCTGTTAGATTTCCCCCATAAGGAGCACTCAAGGAAGACTGCATGACTAAGAAGGCAGAAAGAAAGCTGCTCCTTCCTGTGTGTTTGCTGATCCCATCAGCCTAAGCCCAGCAATATAGCCCTTCATCCTGGAAACAGCGATAGGTCTGGCTTTTTCCCTGCGCCGCCTGGACCCCAGCCGAATCATGCCCTTCAGATGTACCAATTCCAACCACCTCCCTCCTCCAGCCCAACTAGGTGCGCCTCCTCCCCCTGAGCTCCTATAGCAGCAAGCCGACCCTGGTCCCTCCTCAATGCCTGGGTCCCAAGAATTTCAGAGTCCTTCCCTGCAGCTTCTACATTCTGGTAACCCCAACCTCTGGTCCTCGTTCCCCCATTCCAAGAGGTGGTAGCTGCTTCTGTAGTTCTGTCACCACAATGCTCCCCCTTTGCCTTTTCAGCCCTGCAAAACCCACTTAACTGATGCCTTATATTAAATTCTTTCAGTTAAAATAACTAGTGTGGTTGGGGCGCCCGGGTGGCTCAGTTGGTTAAGCATCCAACCCTTGACTTCAGCTCAGGTCATGATCTCAGGGTTGTGAGATCAAGCCCCGCCTCTGGCTCTGTGCTGGACATGGAGCCTGCTTAAGATTCTCTCTCTCCCTCTCCTTTGCCCCTCCCCCAAACTCACCCTGGCTCGCTCTCTTTCTCCCCAAATAAATAAATAAACAAACAAACAAATACAAGTAAAAATGAAAAATAAAAAAATAAGTTGTACGGTTTTCCTTACTGGGCTCTGGCTGATATGGTACCCTGGAGATGTGTAGAAGCTACAGGTAGCCGGCATTCTCAATCCGATATAAGCAACCTGCGGAATCACAGATCAAGGAAGGCATGCATGTTCCCGGCTTGGTACCTTTCACCCAAGTGGAAAACACCGGAAGGGGAACAAGATTAGGGAAGGGCTGGGGAGCCACGATCTGTCCCAGTTTGCAGGAGTGGTGTTTGAGAGACATCCAATATCCAATGGGAAGTTTGTCATCCGGTCCTAGAATTTTACAGTAAGAGCTGTTCTAGAGACAAAGATTTGGAGAGTGATCAGCAAATAGATCAGTAGTTCCCAAAGTAAGAAATGAGAGAGTTTAGATACCTTATTAAAGCCTTGCCCCCGCCCCTACATACAATCTGTATAAATTCCTTCACTGTATAGGGTTATTTCTTCTTTAAATAACATAACAACTTTTTCTTTTCATTTTAGCACCTTTAAATGGGAACAATGGCTATCCAAGCAAATAAGTACTTTTGCTAATCAGAATGTTTGTTTCTGAGTTTTAACCATTGGAGGCCTGTCATCTCTTTCTGCAATTCTCTTGCTTGTGAAAGCTTTTTAGATCGTTTGTTCACTTAAAATAAAGTCTAGGATTCTGAGGCCAAATTGCAATAATTGTTGTTTTGTACTAAGATAGGGTCTTTACCCCAAGCCTTAAAAAAATCTTGTCAAATTTGAAATCACTTCTGAATTTTCCAGAAAGAAATTTATGGTAATGGAAAAGGAAATGGGGTCAGCCATCCTTTTAAAAAAAAAATACATTGGCATTTTAAGTTTAAATTTAAAGTAGGTCACTTAATTGTTTAGCACTTACGCAACACTGAATTCCATGGTGG